CTGCACTTCACTTCTTCGGCTTCCACTATCTTATGAACGTTGCGATTCAACCACAGTTTGAAGGGTTTGAAAGAACAATTGCACCAAAATGCGTTGTTTCTAATGTCCACTCGAATGTAAGAAGAATCACTTACGTATTGCAAAAATTTTGCAGGAAAATCTTGTAGACTATTGTATCGAAGAGTGAGAAATTTCAACGAAGAAGGAAACCTCCAATGCTCGGAGGGATTTAAACGATTGTGGTCCAAGTACAGTTCATCCACTCCAGACCAACTGTCTGTAATTTTTATTGCGGAAAGAGAGTTGTGTTCCAGGTGAACGATTGTGGTGTTTTCGGGAAGTATTGCAGGAGCGTGGGAAATATTGGAGAAAGAACAATTTACTATGACCGAAAAGCCTTTATATAAGTAACAGCGGCACTTCGGTGGGCAATGTTCTACAACGGGACACACCACGTAGGAAGGAATCAATTCCTGGAAAGTCTTGTTTCGTAAGTCAGAAGGAGAATCGCAGAGCAGCGATCGACCGTTTTCCAAAAACTGAACTTCTTCGACGAAATTCCTCAAAGCGCAGTCACACCGGAAGGGGTTTCCAAAGAGAGTGACGTTATTCATATTCCTGGAGATTTTTCCCGCGACTGTTGTGATATTATTGTTCATCAATAAAATTACAGAGCGATTATCCGGAGGGAGGTCTTCGGTGCGAAGAATCGACAGGCGATTGCTATTCAGTCTGAGCAGCGAGATGTTATACGCTGTCCAGTCCATTCGAGGAAACTGTGTTAAGGAGGTGTTGGAAAGCCCCAAGAATGTCAAACGCGGCAGTCTTCCGAACGGTGTCGATTCTGGTAAAGAGCCCAGAGGATTTTCATCCAGATACAGTACTTTCAGATTCTTCAAAATTTCAAACTTTCCCTCTTCTACCTTCGTTATTCTGTTTCCCGTTAAAGACAATGCTTGAATATTTTGAATGTCGTCAAACACTTCGAAAGGAATTTTGGTCATAAGATTGTTGCTTAAATCCAGTATCGCCAGCCGTTTGTTTCTACTGAACACGGTGGACGGTAATTCGTGCAATCGGTTCTTATGTAAATATATTTGTTGGATATACGTGTTATTTACAAACAGATCAAGGTGTAAACGATCGATTCTATTTTCGCATATTCGAACTTCGATTAAGTGATAACAAGAGGAAAAAATCTTCGATGGCAATTCACTGATGTCGCAGTTGCAGGCATCAAATTGCTCTAATTTTGAGACATTTTGCAATAGTATTTCCGGTAGAGAACGGAAACTGTTGTTGCTCGCGTTCAGATAAAGCAAATTAAAATTATCTGCAAACAAGGAAGGGGGTAGAGTATTTAAGCGATTGTCGTTTAAAGTAAGCGTATTAAGGTTTGTCAACCCTCTAAATATGGCGGGAGGAAGAAACGTCAGCAAATTTCTATGCAGACCTAATTCCTCCAGAGATTGCAATCCATAGAAAAGGGTCTCCGGAAGATTTTCTAAACGATTGTTGAAGAGGTATAAAGATTTGAGTCTATTCAAACCACGAAATGCATCTTCTGGAAAACTTCTTATTCTTCCTAAGACTACGCAAATCATTTTTAACGAGGAGAGCCCGCTGAAGAATCCGTTCGGAAATTTTTTCGTCGTCATGCCTAACACATCGATCCTTTCTACGTTGCGTAACTCCAGTAAAGTGTACGTGACGTTTTCTATGTGGTGTAACGTGATGTAGTAAAGATTCGGTAGGTTCTTGATGATCACATGCGAATTTGGTGGAACGTCTTCGGAAATCAAAAAGAAACGCCGAACACTTTTATCTCCCAGGGAAGTTCCGACGTCGGAAGAGGGAAGGAGGCATTCTCTTAACATCACGGTGAAAAAGTAAGTAAAATTAGTACACACACGAATCTGTTCGGCGTCGAAAGTGTTTCCTCGACACACCACGTAAATGGTTCTGTAGTAGTCGTTGATGTAAGAAGTAACGTTCGATCCGCATTCTATTCTTCGATTCATTTTCGAACTAATTAAACCAAATCGGTCGGTAAGGAAGAACCACCCCTGTACTGCCGTGCAAAGGAACACCAATTGAACCAAGAAGATTATCTGCACCATCTGAAACGAAAGTAAAACGTGTCACTTTCTGAACAGATCTATTTTACTCGAACACGTTTCAGCCTGTAAAGTATTAATAGTTTGTACTGTACGGTACAATTATATGGCCACTACGTACGATACGTAATTATAAAATACTGTAGTCTAATATATCTCTGTTTCCATTCCGCCGTTTGCATCAGTGATTTGTTTTCGGTGCGTCGGTCGTTGGAAGTATTATCTGTGACGTAATATTTACGTTGAAGTTTTATTATCGCATTAATTTCCGCGCTAAATAAGACGTTTTAGTTGGAATTTTTTATGGCCGCTGCTGGAGACGGGTAAGTGGTGCCGACAGTGTTGGCTAGAGTTCTTAGTGTCCAGAATTATTGTTATTACGATGTTTAGCATTAATTGATTATTTGTAACTGTTGCTAAAAAGAGGTATCATTTAAACTAACTATGCGTAAGTAAAAGAACAAGTTGATGCATATTAGATTCTCCTTTTCTTTCCGAGATGCCCCGTGATACGCGCACTTTAAGTGGCATAGCGTGGGTGTCAGCCGCCGGGGGCGGAGGGAAACTTCGCCGCCCCTTATTTACGTATCTCAATTTAAAAGACTAAAATTCACTTTCTTCACGGAATAAGTAATGAAAAATTCCGTGCTCGTTTCAAACGGTCCGAATCGTAGGTGCGACAAAAATATGAAATGAAATTGTTCAAATTTTTACAAGATATTATTATTATTTATTGTGAAATTGTGCCGCCCCCACTACGCGACGCCACTGCGCCCTTAGCATCGAGTCCCCCTAACCTTTGCCTAGGCAGATTACAAGTTAGCGCGTTTCACCGATTTCGGTGTTTGTGTCGCGGGGCAACTCCTCCAACAATTCTGTATCAAAGGCTTAAGTCAAATAGGAAGATTTTAATATAAATGTTTGTTAATATAAAAGCGTAGATTAATTTAATGCCGCGATAGGATCCTTTACTGTTTTACGTTTTTGTATTAACGTTCAATATTTTATATTGCACGAATTGATCTAAAACGCAAAAAATCCAGCAGCGACTTGCGTAACTTTTCCGGCTTCACCGAAAGAATTTTCAACGTGATCTTCGCTTCATTGGCCAAAATTTGTATCGCTCGGAGCGATGCTACCGTACATCTTTAGAAAAGTTTCGTACGACAAGATCTAGATCTACAGGATGAGTAGTTTTATTTACTTTTATAGATTTTGGCAATAATTACAGTAGAACCTCGATTATCCGCCCCCCGATCAACCGACCCCTCGGTTAACCGAGCGTCCTAGTCGGCAAATTTCAAATGTCCGCTAGTGATGTGGCGCTACAATATTTGGCTATGTCTTGGCNTTCGACACCATAGAGGCAGCGGACAAGGCCATCAAAGAGATGAACGGACAGACGGTCTCGGGTGCAGTTGAAAGTATCCTTGGCCAGGAGACAGCCCCTCATTCCTTCTGCCACCGACGGTGCCGCCTCGTGGTCGGGCCTGGCCAGTTACTCTCCCAAGGGCAACCACAAGGACAAGAGGAACCTTGTTTCTTACGACGACATATTTTAGTATTCTAATAACGTTATGTGGTAAGGATCACAATTGGCAGTTTTCTGTTTGTCCTCAATCCTCGTTCTAAGAAGGTGATGATATCATTTAACGTAAACTTTTTATCGTGCAAGTTTTTGAATTGATGTGTACTGGTAAGAGTTTTAAGCTGTTGATGGAAGTTATGAAGAGTAAACAATCTTTACTTTTTAAATGTTTCTGAACTATAAAAAGTTATAAACAGATAAAATATAAGAACAAATTTAATTAAATTGCTGATGTAATTTGAAGAAATTTGTGGAAATTCATTACGATACTGCCATAAATTCTTTAATAGTTTCTTAGATTTCTTTGTGATTTTCTAATATATATAAAAAACTGTGATGTAATAGTAACAAAATATGTAAATCAGAGATGTATTTTGACATCATCTTGATGAGAGTACCTAATAATAATTGAAATTTTTTTCACTTTTTTTTTGCACTAGCTGGATTTGCATTTTATTTTCTTAGAATTTAAATTAATTACCATAACAACAGTCAAATAAAGATTGGAAAACTACATGTTCAACTTTCGTAAATAGGTACTGGTATAATATACACCACACTCTCTTCAACCTTAAATAACCAGTAAAATATTTAAAAATTTTTTCCAACATAAGCTCGAGAGAAGCCTTTGTGTACGTTACCAAAAGAAATTCCAATGGATCCTCAAGAAACAAAAACCACATGATACTCTAAAACACTCATCCTTGATATGCTGGGATAACATATCACCTCCTGACTCATCCGCTCACTATCATATGGGCCTATGTTTGCACCTCCTGATCATCACATACATCCAGAACAAGTGATGCCTGATATAGAAAATCTTATCACTGGGATGAATGAAGTCCAAAAAGATTATTTCAGATGGAAGACTGCAATAAAGATAAGAGATACTAACAGCCGCCCACATGAAGATCAAATATGGAAGCGGATTTCCGAGTCTAAAAAATGGCTAAGGGATAATAACGTAGTAGTATTCAAGGCGGACAAGAGCAAAGCTTTGGTGTTATTAAAGAGGAGTACGTACACTTCGATGATGCATAAGTACATCAATGATACAAGGAGACCCTACGGCTTTGGGGTAACGGATTTTGATGATCTTTGGTGTAGAGGTAGTACACCATGTGAGTGTACTACCTGTAAAATACTAAAGTGCAATACTCAAATATAATCGAGAAAATCGAACTTAGAGTTTTTAGCACTTTATATATAAATTATACGTATTTGTATTTGAGCGTCCTGTGGCAGAGTGGTAACGAGTCTGATTCATAAGCTTGAGTTCTCGGGTTCGATTCTCGCGTATAATTTTTTTTTAATTCTTAAATACTTATAATGTATTTATTTATTTACTCATTCATTTATTTCTTATTATTTATTTATTTTAATTTAATTTCTTCTATTCCAAGTCTAATATTTTTATACTTTTGTTGACAATAACGGCGCATTCTTGACACCTATGTGTCAACTTTCCCATCTAATTGTTATCACTAACGGTGACCGATCTAATTCTCACTAGGAGCGTTTTTTCTATCGGAGTTCTTTTTCACTCACTCTTTAACAGTTCGTTTCTAAATTTCGACACGAATAGACGTATTTGTGTAGTAAAACTTATTTTGAAAAATTATTTTATAAT